CACAACCTTCAGTATGGATTGCATCTCAATCTAAAGAGAATAAAAATCCTCATAACTGGACCAATAAGCAATACCATGATAAACAGAGAAAAAAATATTGAAATTGTCAAGGATTTCATTTTGCTTGGATCCACAATCAAAGCCCATGGAAGCAGCAGTCAAGAAATCATATGATGTATTGCACTGGGCAAATCTGCTGCAAAACACCTCTTTGAAGTGTTGAAAAGCAAAGATCCAAGCTATGGTATTTTCAATCATCTCAAACTATAGGATTGCTGTGAGTCAGAATCCACTCGATGGCAATGGGTTTGGTTTCATATGCATGTGAAAGCTGGATAATGAATAAGGAAGACCAAAGAATTGATGCATTTTAATTATGGCGTTGGTGAAGAATATTGAATATCTCACAGACTGCCAAAAAAAGGAGCAAATCTGTCTTGGAAAAAGTACAGCCAGAATGCTCTTTACAAGCTAGGATGGCAAGACTTAATCAGTACTTTGGACATGTTATCAGGAGGGACTAGTCCCTGGAGAAGGATATCATGCTTGGTAAAACATAGGGTCAGCAAAAAAGAGGAAGACTCTACATGATGGATTGACACAGTGGCTGCAACAACGGGCTCAAACGTAGCAAATATTGTGAGGATGGCACAGGACCAGAAAGTGTTTCATTCTGTTGTACATAGGATTTCTATGAGTCAGAACCTACTTGACAGCATCTAACAACTGCAAAAACAACACTTTTAAGTAACTTGCTTTGCAGTCAGTTTTGCTATAATTCAACCAATTCATAAACCAAGCATACTTGTACTCTTCCTCAATTTCATTGATGTTCCATGTTGAGTTCCAGGCTGTTTTTTTAATGAAGCCAAGCATGCCGTTCCTTGGATTTCTAGGGGAAAAAAAAGTTAATTTATCTGGCAAGGGAGTAGCCACAAATCCACACCCGGTGAGTAAATAACAGCAACAACAGCAACCAATTGTACCAAAATAAAAATTCAGTTTTGTAAGTCTGGGAAGACTTGACTCAAAAAAAAAGTAAAATTAGCAAAAGAGCAAAATGCAAAGTTATTAAAAAATTAACTTTTCATTAGTGCCTTGTACTTAACAGGCATTCATTAAATATTTGTTGAATGAATCTAGTTCACTACTGAGATTTAACTGATGGCCTGTCTGACTCAATCAAGAGCAGTCTCTGCCCAGGATTGTGACAGATGTTTGTGAATCAACTCATCAGATAATATCTGCTTTACAATACTGGAAGGAATGTTTTAACTCAGGACTGCAGAAATAATAAAAGGAATTATTTGAGTTGTACCTAAACAAACCATGAATCATCTGTACCAGGATTTACTAAACAATTAACCCAGGAACACGAATAACAAATCATGTGTTCCTCACAGGTGTTATTGTTTTTAATCACTAATCGTTTCCTGGAAGGAATGGCAAACTCCTCCAAACACCAATCACTGGAAATGAGTTCCAAACCCTAGAGCTGATGTTTTTTTTCTGCAGCATCTCTAGAGCTAGTTCTTCCCTTTTTTGGGTCTCATTCTGATTCTCGATGGTGGATTCTAGGAGCACTCACACTGTCTTTGCATTTCTCAGTGTCCAGTCAACACAGTATAAGGATTTGCTACTAGGGCTTTGCATCAGTTCCTTCCAGTTCGATCCCCTGCTGAGAATTTGCATTTCTAACAAGCTTCCGGTCCATGCTAATACTGCTGGTTAGGGACGAATTCTGAGAACTACTAGCAGAGCAGTGGTTCTCAAAATTCATTACAGATAATCACTTGGGGATCTTGTTAAAATGTAGATTCTGATTCAGTATATCCGGGGTGGAAATGCAAATTCTCAGCAGGGGTTTGATCCAGAATGAACCCATTTGAAGTCCTGCTTGCTACCTGCTATCATTAACAGCAAGAGTCCCTGAGTAGTGCAAATGGTTAAGCGCTCAACTACTGGTTGTGAAGGTTGGCTGTTCGAACCTACCCAGAAGTGCCTCAGAAGACAAGCCTGGGGACTTGCTTCTGAAAGGTCATAGCTTGGAAAATCCTATGGAGCAGTTCTACTCTGCACATATGAGGTCACCATGAGGCAGAATCGACTCAAAGGCAGCTAACAACAACAACCTTTAACAGCAACATACTCTGCTCTTGCTGTTATTGTTGCTGTCACACAGGAGTCCCCCGCCCCCGCCCCTTGACTGTTGTACATCTCCATGATGCTTCATGTGGTTCCCCTTACGATTTCCCTACTGTGTGCTGTGCTTAGATTTGCTTTCAATTTTGAACTTTAGGCTGCAATGAAGAGGGTCTCTAGTCTGAGATCCCCTTGGGGGTAGAGCCCTTTTCCTGCTTAATAAATTTCTCCCTTTGAGGTATCTGGCAGACAGGTCATGTTGTTGCTGTTGTTGGTGTGTGCCGTCGAGTCGATTCCGATTCATAGCGACCCTATAGGACAGAGTAGAACTGCCTCATAGGGTTTCCAAGGCTGTGATCTTTACAGGAGCAGATCGACAGGTCTTTTCTCCCGCAGAAAGCCTGGTGAGTTCGAACAGCTGACTGTTTAGTTAGCAGCTGTGCGCTTAACCATTGTATCACTAGGGCTCCTAAACAGGTCATAACCAAACCCAAACTACTTGCCAGCGAGTGGATTCTGACTCATAGCGAGCCCATAGGACAGAGTAGAACTGCCCCGTAGGGTTTCCAAGGAGCGGCTGGTGGATTCAAACTGCTTATCTTTTGGTTATCAGCCGAGCTCTTAACCACTGCACCACCAGGACTCCAGACAGGTCATAAGACCTACTAATTTAAATCCTTGCTACTCAAAGTGCAGTTCATGGACGAGCAGAATCAGCATCACCTGGGAGCTTCTAGAAATGCAGAAAATGTAGACCTCAAGCCAGACCTGCTAAATCAGAATCTTCATTTTAACAAACTATCAGGTGATTTTTACGCATATTAATGTTTGAGAAGAACTGTTCTAAGTGGTCTTCCATGCACAATCAACAATCACTGAGTTCTTGATTGAAAACTTGAAACCCAGTGATGTTCACCCTTCACGTAGGAGGGTCAGGAGACCTTTGCCAGTCCCTGCTATTATTGCTTGAAAGAACACAATGAAGATGAAAAATTCAGGACTGCATCTATAAATTCATATTCTGCCTCTTGCATATAATGCTTAATTTGCCAGATCATTTGCTTGTTATCCTGTTTCTACCCATCACTGCCACCACCACCATCACAAATACAGCCAACACTTGTTGAGCTGTGCCAAGCACTGTGCTAAGTGCATTTATACTCACGTCTAATTTTCACAACACTATAAAGTGGGTACTATTATCACCATTCCAATTCTATGTTGCTGAGATTTGAACCCAGCTTGAGCCTTAACTCCTAAACTCTATTCTCACTCATGTGTTCTCTGCTATTTTCCATTTTCTGATGGAAAGATGTGTACATCCTTGTCAAGGTAGCAATTGCTTGAATCTGAAATATACAAACCCTCTTACATAAAACATCGTTACCTTCTCTAGTGATCTACTGCCTTGTTTTCTGAGAAAGTGCTTACAGAAATAAAGCAGTTTAACCACTTTACAAAAATACTTATGACTAGTGTTACGCGCAATTACACTGGAAAAACAGGTATTCAATTAAAATGGACATTTGTTTGTGAATAAAGAGTGCTGTTGTTGTAGTTAGGTGGCATTGAGTTGATTCCGACTCATAGCAATCCCATGTGACAGAGTAGAACTGCCCCATAGGGTTTTCTTAGCTATAATCTTTACAGAAGCAGATCACCAGGTCCTTCTCCTATGGAGCCGCTGGGTGCGTTCTAACAGCCAGCATTTTGGTTAGCAGCCAAGCACCTAACCATTTGCGCCATTTGAACAGAGAGTAGCATTTACATTTCTGTATTCCATGAAGCCAAATATATGACACCCGAAACTATTTTTAAAAGCATAAAATTATAAAGAAGCCTACTTCATATAATGTTTTACACTGACACATTTCCTAACTGCACTGTTAGGAAAGTTGAGATTTGTGCACATTAGAATTAATATTAATTAATTAATATAAAACATTAATTTCTGATGTTAAATTTTTATTTTTGCTATTGATGCTATACATATAGTTTAAAAGTCTAAAATGAGTACATTTGTCATTCAATACTACTTTTATTGATTGCATATATTTATGACATCAAGGTTGATTCAAGGGAAATTTTGGAAATCCAAATCAATATGGGCATCAAAACAATAGAATGAAGGTTGCTTTCTAAAGCAACAAGAACATACAAATATTTACAAAATGTGTGCTTTCTCTATAGCTGTAGTATGCTCAAAGTAACTCAAGATTTAAATTTTTATTTTTCTCTTTAGCCTATAGTTACTTTCTTTAAAATGTTTTACCATCACCTCAAATATTTTTATTTCTAAAATAAAGCAACTAAGTCATTTTCCTATTCATTAAAGAACGCTTTATATTTTTTTTAAAAAATGGACAAAAAGGAGACAAAATCTAATGCCTAAATACATTCTTTCAGTCAAAGATCTAAACAGTGTACAATATATAAACACGGTTATTCAATGTTTATATATCCATCTTCCTTAGCTCAGAGCCTTATAAATGGTAGGTATCTAACAAACTTTAAATGAGTGGAGTGAGCAAGTGAGCAAGCAAGCCAATTATTCATTCTTCACAAAAGATCTAGTCTCCTTTGGGATATCCAAAACGAACCTAATGGGGAAAATGGATCCTAATATGTTTGATATGAATGTTTCTTTGAGTACATTTCTAATTTACTACTGAGAGAATGGCATTCTGTAGGCAAGCTACTGTTTATTCAGAATGAGTAACAACATCAGTTGTGAAAATGAGAACAATGAAAACAAGGTAAATGTCCTGACTTTATAGAAACAAAAAACTGAATAGAAGAGGAACTGTTATTAGATATGGCATCTTAACTTTATACAGTTAGAATGCAATTAGAATTAAGTGCTAATTACATGTTTGCTATATTCATAATGATTCTAATAATTAGGCATACCTAACCTACTACAAAACTTAGATCTTCAGCTTTAACTATAAGCTGGTGGACTGTTTCCTTTCCCCACTTCTTAGCAGTGCTGTCAATTCCTCCTTTCCAGGAGAGGGGGAAGAAGAAGAACCTATGCCTCCGTTTTGCTTTATTCTTCCACTAGCACCACACTCCCCTTTGTGCAAGTGAGGAACATGGGCAGTACATAACTTTCTCTACATTTTTTTACATGCACTTTTTACTGCATTCTCATTTTCCTCTTAAAAAGCTGAAGATAGCCAGCTGAGCAAATATTCCTAAATGATGTAATACATATTTTCCATGTTACTGAAATTCAACTGAATACTCTTTAGAGAAACAATATGTATGTCAAACTTGAGAAACTGCCTATTTTTGTCAGTAAGGTATCATTCATAGGGGCTCCAAACTTCGAAATTTCAAGATTGTTTTTCTTCTGATTTCTTAGTTCAAGCTCTTAGCACAATATACATAAACTATGGATAACCTGCATTCATAAAAACATTGCATTCATTATGCCAGTCCTCTATTACCTGTATGTAACGTGGTCAATACATTCCTTAATTAGCATTAAAAACAAAAACAAAAACACATTGCCGTCGAGTCTATTCACGGTGACCCCTTGTGTTACAGATTAGAACTGAGCTCCATAGGGTTTTCTTAGCTGGAATCTTTACAGAAGCAGACTGCCAGGCCTTTCTTCTGCAGGGCTGCTCAATGGGTTCAAATCGCCCACCTTTCTGTTAGTAGACGAGCAAGTCATTTGCGCTATCCAGGGACCTCTAATCTAGCATTCAAGACTACACAATATACCCACAACCTACCTTTCCAACTTTTTCACTATTCCCCTTCAAAAATCCTTCACTCTATAATCAAATTATGACTACACACGGTGATTCAAACTAGACTTACGCATTCTGGATAACTTTTGCTAATATTCTTCTTGACTATTTGAACCCTGCCCCTTCCACTTCCCATTTTTGAAGAGTTTTTACTCAAACCACATCTCTTTGGTAAAGGCTTCTCTGACCACCCCAGGCTATACTCTTGATTTTTGTTTTTCTATTTTGCATTTGGTATTTCTAAACTTAAGCATAAATAAACATATGCTTGTTTCTCCATCTATTTTTTAGACCCTCTCTCATTCTTCATTTCTATATAGCAGCTAGCATGGTGGCTTGAACATAACAGCTTTCCAATATTTACTATGTACACAAAGGTTTAAAATAAGGAGAGGGAAGATGAAACTCTAATAGTGTTGTGGTTCATTTTATTTCATGTGTATGCTATGCAACTGATCTGTCCACTGTTCACCTTATAAGTTGCTGCAACTGTTATATCCCTAACTTTGAAGATCAAATTTTGGGTATCACGTATTGTCAGAAATGTACTAAAATTGGCTACAAAACTAAACAATTAAAATCAACTATTCCTGTATTAAGACAGGGTTGTTTGGTCTATACTTATCATTACTGCTATTAGAATCAACTAGTTAAACTGTTGAATAATTTGACCAAGTAATAAAAGAATATTTTAATGTCTGTTTTTTTGTAGTTTTAACAGTACAGTTTAAAAGGAGTTTTCTGTGGTCTCAGATGGTAATCATTAGGACCTCAGAACTAGATGAGGCCAACAGGCATCAGTATGTGCTGTCTCTCCAGGGTGGTCTAGTCTCAACTGCACTTTTTAAGCATTGTTGAAGCCTCTTCAAGAAAAGAGAATAAAAACCTATTTTGTTATGTGCTGCAATTCTTTTAGACTTTGTTACTGATCAAATCTAATCCAAATTCTTCATGTTGGAGTTCAAGAAAAGAAACCACTGATAGCATGTTAGGCAAAATAAATACTTTATTGTTTTAATATTTTTTTTTTAGAAATCAGCCTTTGTGTGATAATTCAACATTAACAGACCTTTTAGATATTCTTTCAAAGAATACTGTTAACATCTCAACCACTTTTGATTAAAATTTTACACAAAAAGAAACATAATGAGTTGAAAACTATAAATGCTAAAAGAATAATTCCAATTACATTTAGTTGTTACTTTACACATCCATTTGACATATATAAAACCAAATAGGAAACCATTTTCCTTTTTTCATAAAAATGAACATTTTTCAGTGGTCAAAACTGAATTAAAACCATTTATGGACGAGGGAAACAAATCTAAATCAGTTTCACTTTGAAAAGACAAAATCCAGCTTAATCATTTCTATGCATTCAAGTCACAGGCCCTGTTATTTTGGTAATACTCTACTATTTTGTCTAAAAGACAGAAGAAAAGATCTCTCCTTATAATAAAGAAGCCTGGACAAGGCAAAAAGTACATAGTGTTTAACATAAGGCATATTTCCAAAAGAAAAATACTATGTAAGCTATAATAAAATTACATTTGTCCTGGGTAAAGTAACAAGGCTTACAGTGTAAGAACATGAAGTAGCTGTAGGTAGCCTCATAGAATTCTACCATACTGCTATTAGTAGCCTCCTCAAGAATTAATAGCAATTTTTACAACAGAACACTTTTTCTTCTTGGAAGTGACACTAATTAACAGCAGTGGAAGGAAATCATTGGTTGCTTCAAGCTCTCAAAAAATGAATCAGTTATTGCACAGTAAATACCTCATAGAGGTCAGTGTTTTAAGAAGCTATTCTGAAGAAATATGTTATTTATAAGTTGGTTAAGTCTGGAAGTCTTCAAGTCTTAAAATTACTTCTATATAGGGAATCAATTAGAAAATATTGACATACAAATAAATATTAGGTTTTCAAACTGCTACAGTCTTGATAGTTTAGAATTGTCAGCAAAGTGGCTAAGTTTCTATGTACTTTTAAAAGATATGCATAGAAGAAATAAACATTGTACATTTATACAGTAGCCCAGCTCAGCAGCAAGTATCTTTTGAAGCACAAATAACACCTCCACCAGTGTATACCATTGATAACCCCAATATTATACAGCTAATATGATCCATGTCAACCTTAAAAAAGAAAAGAAGACAACATTAAACACCTTTCAAATATTATTATTAAAAGGTTCTTCAAAAAAGGGATGAGAATTTTATCTATCTAGCTATCTAAATATGATCCTTCTGTGATTTCTATACATCTTACTGAGAGTTAATTTTTTGCCTAGCTTTGAAAAAAAATCCTATTAGTTTATTTATAACCTAACTTATCAACTATTTTCCCAGAATCTACAGATGAAATTATATATATTTCAACTTACATTTTTGTTTCCATATTTCATTGAATGTTTATCTCTAATAAACTTACAATTCTACTAAACAATAATATATTCTTTTTTGCATTCACCAAGTATTACTGTGAGCATATATTTTATAAAATGTAACTAGAGTTATGAGATAAAATTGTTTTAATTTTAATGAATTAAATTAATTTTAATAAACAAAACATAAAATATATCTTTATAAATTATGACAATTATATATGGACATATGGTAGATGTCTGTTTTAAAAGACAAAAATAATAAGATACTAAGAATTTGTGATTCTCAAAATAATGTTCTATAAACTGTACATCTGAAATGCCACTATAATCAATGTTATTAAAATAAGATTCAAGTTTGAGGGCCAATTCCAGCAATTATTTACTACAATAAAATTTCAGTAAAACACCACAATATAGAAAATCCCTTCGAGGTTAATATTATAGGATTTGACTTGCTTACACTCCAAATGGGACTGTATGAGGTTTTCACAGATAAGATATCATATTACATACATTCTAAAAATCAAAATTTAGCTGGAAAAACAGACTTATCTACTAAGAAAACAAAGCATTAAAAGCCAAGCACTAATCTTTACATCTAGCTAAATAAAGAAATTCGGAAACACTTACCTGTAAATTCTATTTAATGACTATTTGTCTTGCTTAGAACTAGATGCTTTACTTGAAGATACTGCTGCCAAAAGTCCACTCACGATTTCACGTCTGATTTCCCCAACAATAGACTCTTTAATCTTGAACAGAATAAGAGAAAAATAAGAATTTACCAATTATCATTCTAATTCATTTTTTATGTTTTCAGAAAAACAAATGGCATTTGCTTCACTCAGCTCAAATGCAGAGGTAACTACAAAATTCATGTGAACCTTCATGCAATACAGATAGGCAATGGGAAATTGTGTCCATCTGTCCTCAAACCCAGATCAGCATCTGAGGTCTGGCCTTGTAAAACTCGGCCAACTACATTATAAAGTATCATAATTCTTAAATTGAGAACATTAGAAATTATTTTACAGATTAAAAAGCTTTCAGTAAATTCAGTAATTTATTTCATGACACAAAGTAACCTGAAAGGTCTGATTAAAAAGTTAGGTTCACTTTTATTTTTTTTATTAATGTGTACCTTTGGAAGGCAATCAGCAGGACAGTCAAGTGTTCTCATTGCTAAGAAAACTCATCAGTGGCAAATAATATACAGGTATATTCTCCGTCTATAAACAATGTATCTAAAGAAGTTATATGTGGTTCTCACCTAGCATGTACATTTTAAATGGAAAGGAGAAATTATCATTTAGTACAATGTATTTTAAAACATAAAAACATCCTCTAAAATAACATAAATTCTAAAGAAATAAACTTTTCTTCAGTTGTATGGTATGTTTGTCACCTGCCTGAAAGTACTGCTTCAGATAAGGATAAACATCTCATTTTATGGCTGGAAAGAGGCAAATGGGCCTAAAAGCAATTCCATCAAGATTGTCTTCTCCAGGTGCCCAAATACTATACATGCCTATCCACTCCTTCTTCTCTAATGATACAGCATCATTGCCAAACAGCCCTCTGTGAAGGCTTTAAATATGTATTTCCTGAAATAAACTGATAATGCCTTCCCAAATTAGCACTTGAGACACACTCAACCAGCTTTTAAAAATCCCCCATTTCCACAGTTTCCTGCCAGCCTGATGTATTTCCTAAAATGTTCCTAAGTACATCCTGAACACATCTCAATTGAAGTCTTTCCAAAAGTGGCTCTGTATTAATCTGTCATACAAAACTGGTATACAATACATAGACTTACACATAGTTACTTGCAGAAACAAAGCACTCCTTAGCTACCAACCATCTGTACTGGAATATATTTAAATAAATACAACCTCTTCATTTTACTTTCTACCAATAATTCTAAACAGCATCAAATGCTTTTGAAGTTCACAGCACTTCAGATTCATGTTTTAAATGAATGTGTTGGATATAGTATTATAAAAACAAAGTTCTCTTAGCCACAGTACAACTGCAAATCCATGTTTACAAAAGACGTTAAGCAGTATTGTCTTTCTAGTCCTACTGTCAATGTAACATGGCAATTTTATTACATCTCATCATTCAAATAACAAAGCAACCAAAAAGTAGTCTTTACAAACCAAAAATTCGCCAACATATCTTGGGAGTAGAGTACTGCTGGAGTAAACCATCAAAAACTAAAATTTTAATGGAGATAAAATGAATAATGTTTCATAAAAAGTTAGTTGAAAACTTCAGCAATGAATGCATAAGAACAGAATAAAATTTGGAGAAGGAGAGATTAATATTAGCTAGAAGAGGAAAACAGAAAATCCTTAGAGAATGGTCGACTTTAGATAGTAGGTCACAAAAAAAGTAAGGGCAATTTCAGATGATCGCGGGGACAGAAAACTTTGCGGCAGGCACATCTTGGATGAGACCGGGCAGAAAGGAGGCAACTGACAAGATGGTACCACTAGGGAGGAGAAGGAAGTTAGAACAGGACTGGTGAGGTCAAAATGGAAAGCACTGTACTGTAAGTTACTTCAGGGAGAGGGCTGATGTATTCTGGCATAAAGTAAGTGCTCAATAAATGTCTGAGTGAATAATGAGACAGCAAGAGAAAGACAGTATCACCACAAAAAGGAACAGAAACAAGCAGAAAAACAAAGAAGGGCTACAGACAGACTAGCACTGAAAAAAAAGTGTTTTTAACAATTTTTTGAAGGAATAAATGTACGGGCAAATAAATTAGTTGTAAAGTCTCTGATTCTACAGAGAAGGATTGTTGTTGTTCTTGTATGCTCTCCAGTCTATTCCAACTCATAGCAACCCTACAGGACAGAGGAGAACGGCCCCATAGGGTTTCCAAGGCCGTAATCTTCAAGGAAGGCGACTACCACATCTTTTTCGCGTGGAGCGGCTGGTGGGTTCAAACTGCTGACCTTTCCGTTAGCAGTTGAGCGCTTAACCACTGTGCCACGAGGGCTCATTAATAGAAAGATTAGAAGTGAGAAATTACTAGGATGGATGGTAAAGTTGCCTTGATGAGCATAATTTCCAAAAAGTAGCATAGGCTGAAGATAGACCACTTGAGGTTAGGAAAAACCATAAAACCCAAACTGGTTGCCATCAAGTCAATTCTGACTCATGGCAAACCCACATGCAGAAAAGAACTGTGTTCCACTGGGTTTTCAATGGCTGTGACCTTTTGGAAGCAGACCGCTAGGCCTTTCTTCCAAGGCACCTCTGGGTGGGTTTGAATGCCCACCTTTGGGTTAGTAGTTGAGCACCTAACTGTCTACACCACCCAGGACTCTGAGGTTAAGAAGGGAGTATTTACTGGCAATACAAACAGACTGCAAGTCTGAAATGTGGGGCAAAACATCCATTTAGTATACATCTATTGAGTGCCTACCGCATGTCAGACATTGTATTAGGTGATCACTAAAAGAAGTTACAATAAGAACACCAGCAAACTGTGTATGTACCAAAATACATGTTTAAAGCATATCAGATGTACTGCAATAGATACTGAAAGGCACAAACCAAGCCTAGCAACTTCAATAAATAAGGAAGAACTCCCTAAATATAAAGTGATCTATGGTTATTCTTAAGGAGCCCTGGTGGTGCAATGGTTAGGCGCTTGGATGCTAACCAAAGGTTTGGTGGTTTGAACCCACCCAGCAGCTCTCTGCAAGAGAAGACCTGGCAATTCCGTAACAATTAGAGCCAAGAAAACCCTATGGGGCAGTTCTACCTTGTCATGTGGGGTTGCTGTGAGCTGGAATCAACTTGATGGCACCCAGAAAAAACAACAATAACACTGCTACTCTTGGATATTTAATTCTGATGAATTTGTTTCTATGGGCACATATTCAGTCATTCTATTAAGTAATCGCTTTATTTTTTATTTTTTTAAAGTAACTGTAAACAGTTACAGGCCACTGATGACCTACATCACAGACCACCCTGGCAAACTCCTCTAAGACAGTGTACTTTTTCCACTACAGCACACACATCTAAGCAGAAAAGGGGTATCTTTAATCTGATGGAAGTTTAATCACTGAACAAGTGTGTTAAATATTTGTACAAAAAGACTTTCTTTCAATATTCTCCTTCAGTGTGCTCCTGCAAAAGAATTCCCCTGTATTAACAAACGATAAACAATGAAAGCGCTCTTTTTAAAAAACCTCGCATACAGTGAGATGATGGAAACAAAGGCCTGACAGACAGCATTGTTTTCATGCACCGAGCAGTGCACTAAGAAAACTTCCCTGAAAGTGTCTGCCAAACATGCTTAATCCTCACCTGCAAAACTGTTCAAGCCAAGGTTAAATCTTGCCTTTCTGAATAGCAGCTTTGTTAATGGGGTTAGGGGCCCAGAATTTACTAGGAAGACAAAATCTAATTTTCTTTGTAGCTGATACACCAAGGTTTAAAACAAAAAAAAAAGGAACTCAGTTCCATGTATACTTGAGTAAAGAGATTACTGATGTGAAATGAACAGAATGAAGACTAATCTGAATTTCAAATATTCTGTACACAAAAGTTTAACAGAAAACCACTGTGAGCTAATATGATACTAATGTAAATTATTTTGTAAAATCATAATTAGCTTTGGACTAATATGTCCATTAACATATGCTTTTAAAGTGCTTCAAAAGTTTATTCTTTTAAATACATCAACATTCTTCTTATGCCTGGTTTGATCTATTTATTTTGCTTGGTAAACTCTTCTTTTAGACAGTAAAAGGGCAAATGTTAAACCCAACTTCCTCCAAACTATGCCAAATTCTGAGTTAGGGAGTTTCTAATTAATGGGAAAGTAACAAAGTCTTAACAATTTTTCAAGCATTTGCCTTACATACTAAAGTCTGAAAATTTTAACATCTTTCATATTTAGTGGGAGGCTCTTATAAATGAGCATGTAGTTTTCTAGGCTCAAAGCAGCATAATGGGATAAATCTTAACCACCTACAACTAACTTAAAAATAGTTACATTTGTAGAACAGATACATATATAGAATTAAGACCTCTTAAACTTTTTTTTTTTAATTGGTAAATTCATGTCATGAAAATAAATTATACACATGTATGGAGTCCTTGGGTGGTACAAATGGTTAGGCACCTGGCTATTAACCGAAAGTCTGGAAGTTCTAGTCCACCTAGAGGTGTCTCAGAAGAAAGGCCTGGTGATCTGCTTCCAAAAAAACACAGCCATTGAAAACCCTATGGAGTGCTGTTCTACTCTGACTTACATGAGGCTGCCATGAATCAGAACTGACTTGATAACTGGTTTGGTTTTCGGTTTAGTCTCTTCTGCTGTAATACTTGTTCTGAAAATGAGAACTTGTCTTGATGTAACTGAAGTATTAGGAAACAATATGAGCATAATGCAAACTTCCCGTTTGATTAGTGTGATTTTATCCACAAGAAACACTAGGTAAAAGCAGAAAATTAGACTCAGCTACACCTAAAACCATAGTACACATACACACATCCCTTAAACGTCCACCAGCTACCTCAGTTCATTGCATGTTACGAGCCACAATTCATTCAACAGCTTAAAAGCTGCAACCCTTCCAAAGCCCTATTCAACAAGCAAACTCTAGGTCTTTTTCAAGGTGAAGTGTCATATTTATTGTAGTATTTATGCATTTCTTAACCATTTAACAGATGTAAGATGGTGCTACTGTTTTTATTAGGTTCCTTTTTTTTTTAATATGTCACTGATAAAGTTTTAAGGTTATATCACTAATTCCATTTTCCCTAAAAGCCCTCTGGTTTTGACTGCATGAGTTTCCACAGAACGATGATTTTTAGGACTGCATATGTGGCATCCTAGCAGAACGAACTATTTTTACTGCACTTCTTCTAACTATTACCAAGCGGCTTTAAATGATGGCCCCTAAAGCACATGAACTAATCTCTGGATCCAGGGGTCAGTGGCCTGTCTGAGGGAAGAGCCTGGTCTGCTGTCACCATTATTGATCTAGAATCACCAGAAATGTGTTCTATGGCTACTCACAAACGAATTCTAAAAATATACTAGGTTCACGTTGATGAATTTATTGGAAATAGACAGTTTAAATAGGAAGCCGCTGACCCCAATTTCTCTGGCTCATTTTGACCTTTTCCATTTCTAAATTCCTAGTTCTTGACTGCTTTATAATAAATGTTTTTCTGTGTGATTTTTCAATTGTTTCCAGTCTTAGTCTTGTTTATCTTCCTACTAGACTTTAAGCTTAAGGTTTTCATGTCTTGTATGTATTTTTCTTTTATTCTTCACAGAACAGATGCTCATTAGGCACCTATGAAGTGATTTTTTTAAATGTATAGGATATCCTTTTTCTAACTATTGGGAAGAATGAAAGGTCCCTTATCATCATGATGATGTTTACATATTTCAACTGGAAATAACTGAATAAATATGGTTCTTTTCTTAGAGTTTGTCTTAAGAATTCTTAAGACAAAGGAGTAGAATGGGAAAAAATATATATATTTAACATACGTAATTTTTATTCTGTGCACTGCTCTCCTGGATTTTGTACCCAAAGAGACAGTATGATTTGAGAAGAAAAGGAAAAAACAGAGGTTTTCCTTTGTAAATGATATATACTATTCCTGATTATTGCCTGATTTCGATGCCCAAAACAGTTATTTTACTAAAATTCTCAATTAACCTTTGACTTTTGACTACTAATCTTGCTAATTTTTGCAGTCCCTTTGGTCGCTATGAGTTGGAATCGACTCAACAGCAACAGGTTCGGTTTGGTTTTTTGGTAACCCAGCACTATGGCGAATGCTTCAGATTCTCACACTGCTATCATCCAACGCAAACTCATCTTTTCATTCTGGATCTCTATCTTTGAGCATCTCATCTAATTTTCACATTTCTCCACCTACCAACCAAACGAAATTCTTTGTACTTATTAAAATCACATAACCCTCCCCCCAAAAAATCACAACACTATTTTTTAATGTCAATTCAAACTATTAAATGACAGATTTTCATCCTGGAAGAGATATAAATTGTAATCCTTCATTTTACAGATGTGAAATCTGATGTCCAAAGAGTTTGTAACACAATTATTTATTTCAAACCCTACAAATACCTTCTTCAATAGAATGAGAATTGCAATTATTTTACAGTGGAATATGAAATTGGCAGAAATGTATTCCTATGACAAACATATCTTAATAGATACCAACTGGATCAATGAGAAAATTAATTTAAAAGTTCTCTGAAAATTTAATAAATACAGTGAATAAAAGAAATATAAAAGATTAACATTCAGATAAAAACTCCTCTAATATATATCTCCAAATAAATTAATTAAGCATAGATTTTACTCACCTCCCGTATGACTTGCTGCAACTCATCTTGCTCCACATTTTTATGCATTTCCTCAGCAGCTGGCATTAATGGGATATTTCTATGCCCTTCTTCCACTTCAGATTTAGCTCCTACTGCCTCTGAGGCTTCTTCAGCTGCTCCAACTTCCTCAGAACTTTCCAAATCTGGAGGTGTCTGCACAGAACCTACTCTAAAAGGAGCTGTTGGCGTGAGGGCTACTGACGCACGGAATACTTTCTTGCTTGACACTAACTGCGTTTTGGGTTTGGCCACAGAGTCACTAGAAGGTACTCCAATTCTTTTACTAACATGAGAGGGACCAGAACACACAGAAGATGACTCTGAGGTTGCTTGGGAGAAAACAGATTCTGAGCTTTCTCCAGGAGGAATTTCAAACCCCGTTTCTCCAAGTGCCAGGCCCAATTCAGATTTCAGGTATAACTGCTCCTGCATCAGTTCAGTGACCTGGAGATCAGAAAAACCATTATTCTTCTCTCTTGAAATTATGATGGGTAGTTGAAAAGAGGATTAAAATCTTACTGAGATGACTGCCAAAAATCACACAGCTTGTAAAGATGCTAATTCTAATTAATTAACTTAGTAACTATTCAATTCATTTACAAAAACATCAAGTAAAATTTAAATTCACAGTGACATCAAGCATCAACATGTGCAACTTGAATATATAAACCCGTTGCCATGGAGTCAATTCGCACTCAGAGCGACCCTAGAGGACAAAGAAGAGCTGCCCCCATAGGGTTTCCAAGGCTGTAATCTTTACAGAAGCAGATCACCTGGTTTTTCTCTCACAGAACAGCTGGTGGGTTTAAACCACTGAACTTCTGGTTAGCAGCCAAATGTTTAACCACTATGCCACCTGGGTTCCTTCACTGGTTACCACACAGGTCCAGATTACTTGTAATGAATTTGGTTTTCTAGTGGTAACCAAAATAGCTACTCATAATGGTTTTGTCTCCAAATGAATCCAATTTGCTTAAAAGATACTAAATAAAAATCAGACTTTTGTTCAAAAAGTAGTAATTTTACAGATCCAACCATACCTAAAGGACTTGGTTGGGGTCAGATAATGAAAGTGTATTTCCCCTGGAGTATAAATGGAAAACTTTTTATGGTACATTATCTCCTTTAGGCCACGAAGATAAATCATAGTACAATTAAGCTGGCTTCCTAGTGGCAACGAACTTTCAGAAGTGCTAAACGCACTTCTAATCAATAAATTATCAAAATGTATCAAAATTCTGTTAAACAATATATTTCATACACACTAGGAAAATCATGTGTTTATGAAATGTTATCTTATATCATTCCCTTCCCCAGTGATTTAAAAGGAAAGAGTCTTACTGGTTCCATTACATTCAATGGAGAAGGGCATGACAAGTTATCAGCGCTTCTACTGCCACACATTCCCTGAAAAAGTAAGAACAATATATACATATTTTTTTTTCAAATCCAAATGTTTTATAATAAAATTAATTAGCTAAACATTGCTCTGCAGAATACCTTTATGTCACATAGGTCAAACTCAACTGTGATGGAATTCTATAAAATTTGTTATCTTGACTGAAGGTCTGATACTAAAAGAAGTGTCAATGTTCTCATTCTCTGGTGTCACCAACACATTTTTCAGAATAGTGGGTCAAAACCATTTTATGGAAAAATATATTTATAAATGATACAGAATACTCTTACTACTACAATACACATTTTTGTTCTATTTATTGTACCCTATTTATGTGTGTATGTGTGTGTGCTTATTCCTCCATTTATTTTTAGCAAAATTAAATCTGATGTTCAAGCAACAAAAGAGAAAAGTTCATTATCTCAATGCCTCAAAACAACATATTCTACTACTTCAAAGGTATTGGCAAAAATACAACTGTTGAGTTCAAATTTCATGGAAAGGAACATTAGAAGTATGCAAAATTGTACAAAACTAAGAGAAATAGTGTTTCTTTTTATTCTCTTGGTTGCAGACTCCTTCACAGGTTTTTGACTTAAAGATCTGATATGATTCCTTAACAATGCACAATGAATAGAAAATAAAGAAAAATTTAAAATAGTTAATTACTCAAAAGCAAGTAAAAAAAAAAAAGACTGCATGAAATACATACTTCAGTTCTTTGCAGTTAAGTGCAATGATTAAAATCTAAATTAGTCATATACTGATTCACTATCATTTTTCTTTTAAAAACCCTGAAATCTTGTGTTGACCTTCATTCTCTATTATTAAAAATTATGATAAAATTTTTTCAGTATATTTCCAAAGATACTAACTATTGAAGAAAACAGAAAGTTGAAAACTTGCATATTCAACTGCTTTGTGGGAAAGCTCCTTAAACATTCTGCATGCCTCTCCTGCCATTAAAGTAAAAGTTTTTAAATTATGGCATCTGCCCTTAATTACAGGGAATGGTATAAATACATTCCTAGTGAAAACTGCTGACAACCCCCAAAGTACCTACCACCAGTGCTGAGGAGCGGAAGGGAGACGGCATCCGCAGGGCGCGAAGCTGCTCCTCCAGGCCCAGCAGGCGTTCCTCCAGCTGCAGCTCTAGGTCCTGAAGCTCCATTCGGACCGAATTTCTCAAACTCTGGAGCTGATCAACTTCGTATCTACCAGTAAGATGATAGGCACAAAGCTTGAAAGCAGCAGTTTGGGGTTTCCTATTCATAATTCTCATCAACTAATACAGGCTAACTGAGGATACTGAAATTCCCAGTTCTATAAATTAGCACAGTAGCAACTGTAGTATGTATAACCCCCAGGACAACCATCTTTTCTTCCTCCACCCTCTCTCACAAAGATCCCCAACACTAAAAAAAATACAGATTACAACTACCATCTTCCTCAACACATTGAGGGCAGAGAAGTTTATTCAGTAAAAAACTATGCTGAATTTTATTTACACTGGTTCACACACAGATACAGGGTACAAAGCAGAAGAAATAAAACCTAGCTAAAAGATAAAATTGACAATGCTTCTTAGAATGAAAAATATTCTGTGTTCTATTAAGACAAAATAAACTTTTACCTCTCCTCTTCAGTCATATGATGATAAACCATGGTTTGCTGACGTAGCATTGCCAATTCTAAATCCATCATTTGTGTTCTAAACAAATTCAGGCTCCGCCTCATTACTTGGAGCTCCTGAAAAGTATTCTAAAATACAATAAAACAAAATTATACTTCTAAATCATGCATACTGTTTTTTTTTGTTTTTTTTTAATTGCAAGGTGACTTCTAATGTGCTGTGGTGGGCACTTTCCCACCAGCTGCTGAGTTATCCTGAGGTGGTGAGAGGTGCTGGTGAGTTGCTTCTGTGCCCTTCTCTCACGTTCCATTTTTTTTTAATTGTACTTCACGTGAAGGCTTACAGAACAAATAGTTTCTCATGAAACAGTAGTACACATATTGTTTTATGAGACTGGTTAACAACCCCACAACATGTCAACCCTCTAACTTCTCAACCTTTTTTTTGGGTGAAAATACACATAGCCAAAGATACACCATTTCAAAAATTCCTACATACACAGTTCAGTGGCATTGACTACGCTCTTCCAATTGTGCTGTTATTCTCACTTAAGATGAACGCTTACAGAACAAAATAGTTTCTCATTTAACAGTTACTACAAACGTTGCCCTGTGACAATGGTTAACAATCTCACAACACATTAACAATATCCTTACTCAACCTTGGGTTCCCTATCACCAGCTTCCTTGTCCCCTTCTGCCTTCTGGCCCTTGTCACTGGACTATTGTACCTCGTTAGTCTCATTTGGTTTTACAGGGCTGTCCACTCCCAGGCTGAACAGTGAAGCTCAGAGATAACTTCACCACTGAGCTAAAAGGGTGTCTGGGGGCCATACTTTCGGGGTTTCTCCAGTCTCCTTTAGGCCAGTAAATCTGGGTTGTTTTTTTTTTTTTTTTTGTGAGTTAGAATTACGTTCTACATCCTTCTCCAGCTCTGTCCAGAACCCTCTGTTGTGATCCTGGTCAGAGCAGTCAGTGGTGGTAGTCGGGCACCATCTAGCTGTACTGGACTCAGTCTGGTGGAGGCCTTGGTAGCTGTGGATAATCAGTCCTTTGGACTAATCTTTTCCTTGTATCCTGTTCTCTTCATTTTCCCTTGCATCATGCATATTTGTTTTGTAACACAAATACTTAAGTAAGAACTTACTTCATAAAGAGGTAGAACAGATGATTTCTGAGTACTGTATGGAGCAGCAGCAAGATCTGGTCCTCTTATCATAGGGTACTTCAAAAAAGGGGAAATAGAATTAAAAATCAATGTTAAAGTCTCTACCTCCAAATTCTCTAACGTGTTAAAAAGGCAGTACTTTGGGCCTACATATTTTCCTCTCTCGGGTCAAAAAAACTTCCTATTCTAAGCAGGAACTAAAGAAATCAGTTCCCAATCCTATCTCTTAATCCTACCTGTTCCAGCTATAAGTAAATCTATTTGGGAGGAGGAAGGGGCAAAGAACTGGGTACAGTTTATATCTATGTCTTACAGGACTTCCTTCTTGCCTTGAGAAAGTATAAAAACAACAAACAAACAAAAACTAAAAAATGTAGAAGTAACAGCAAATGTCATTCTGAGATTACGGTTACTGGCTGTGGCGAGCAGCTAGCAGTCATCACATTCATTCTCAGATGTTTGAGTATCTACTGATGCCACTACTTTAGGCAGTGAAGACAAAAAAGGTCATTCCTTGCCTAAGAGGGGTTCTCACAGTCTAAGAAAGGAGAAAGAAACGTAAACAAATTATTATAATAATGGGAGGAGGCATGCTAAAATGGAAATGAACAAAGTCTAGATCAGGCGAGTCACAGAAGCGTTTCTAACAGTGGTGACACTTGAGCTGAGCCTTAACAGTAAATAGGGTTTGGTCAGGCAAAGAAAGCCAAGACTGGGGCATTCCAGGCAAAGAAAGTGTCATGTGCAAAAAAAAAAAACAGATCCCTAAGAACACAAAACTATTTAGAGACCAGCATGCAGTCCAGTGTGGCTGGAGCACACATAATGAATGACGCTAGGGAGACGGGGAGAGGTCAGGTCATGAAGAGCACCTGTCTATTCACCAGAGTGGGTGGTGTGGTGGGGTGGGGAGTAGTTATCAGCTGAGGTATTGATGGTATATCCAACAGAAGACGACCATATCTAGACCAGAACAAGCTGGGCTGGAAAGAAAGGTGCACCAGAAAGGTGCAGGTGTACAGAGCCCTAGGAATCCCCAGCTTCACACAATTGTAGCTGAAAGGTGAAACATCTCACTCAGAAAGAACTACATTTTGCAAGGAGGAAAAAGAGAAAACTCTGTTCTGGTTAGATTACAAACCATTAGGAAACAACTGTCATAAGAATAAAAGCAATATTTAAAGAAGATGTCGTCTACTGTAACTTGAAAAGTTAGAACTTTGGTATTTACTTTCAGAGTGGCTTCCCACCAACCATTTTATCATCATAAGATATCCATTTATACATTCTAGGCCTCCTGACTCCTAGCTGAACACTAAGCATTACACTACATTGTCATTTTCTTCATTTCCTCAATGGTCTAAATGTAAATAGGAAGAAATCTTTCTAGACCTCTAGAAAGAAAATCTGAAATGTAAAAGCCAAATGGAAGACAACATTAATTTTCAAGGCTTTTCTGAAAATTATTTCCTGTCTGCTAACTAATCTGAGAGTGGTGACTTTAAGAATGACAAGACATACAAACCATTTCTAGTCATATTCACACTTTACCTGATTTTCTTCTCTTCTGGGATAATTCCAATCTACGAATCAGTGGAACTGGACTAATTTCCATACCAGGGGACGAGCATCAGGAGTCAGTAGGTGAAGGGGAAAGCTTAGTCAGAGAAGTACGAGCAGAACCAGGAGAGTGTGTTGCCACAGAAGCCAAGGGGAAGAGCACTTAGAAAAGAGAGAAGTGGTAAACACTGTCAAATGGCAGGGGAAAGAGAGGAAGAACTGAGAGGAAAGATTTTTTAATAACAGGAAATATTTGACAAAGTTTCTAGACTAAAAGGAAGACAATGGAGGAGAGGTTGAAGAAGGGAGGATATTTAATGAGTAAACTCTCTCCTCTAGAAAGGTAGGGAATTATGAGCAAAGAAAATCATGATTTGTTACAGCTTTTCCCTTTAAATAGGAGGGAGGCGTATAGGAAGAGGGCAGGTATAGACAAGTTTAGGCACGTAAGAAAATGAAGTTGAGGTACTTCATGCCTGATGGGTCTTAGCTTCTCAGTGAGTTAAGAAGTGGTCAGGTCAATAAAAGTGACAAGTTATTACAGATACACGTTCTCATACCTGTGAAAGGTTCTGCAGTGAGTTTCTAATATCATGCAACACTCTCCGCAGCTGCATTTCGATGGCAGAAGGAGGGTTCACGGAATATGCGCGGTAAGGGTAGGCAGCGTGTCTATGTGCATAAGGACACCCAAAAGGAGAAGAGAAGGCACTGCAGGTGATGCCGGATATGTTGGGGACACTGTGAGTGCTCAGAGTTCTCATGTGCTCACACAGGGGCCTCTCCTGACACTCAGAGTGGAGAGAGTGAAGGGAGCAGGTGGACTGCGATATAGGTGCTTGAGCACAGAATGAGCAGGTGGGAGTCCTTCGATGATGGCCTTCCTCTAGCCGGTTCACCTCACTCTGGGAGGCTTCTTCCTTTTTCACAGATGATGGAGAGATGAAAACAGTGGATTTAACTAGAGACTGGCCATCATGTTCAGTAACCTCTTTTTCCAATTCTTGCTCTTCTTCGGGTGTGTACTTGTAAGTGAAAGAAGGTGGACTGCACCTGGTCTCTTTCCCTGGAGAAAAGCGAACATTGACAGCGGACACAACCCTTACCGGGCTCAATAATGTAGTTGGCAAAGATTGAGACCTTCTTAGAGGATAGCCAGCTTTTGCAAATAAGTACCTCTGTTTTAACAGATCTTTTGATTTTATCAGGCTACGCCCTACTCTTTGACTAGAGAGACTACAAACCTTCATTTGAGCTCTTTGCAAAGCTATATTAACTCTGTCCACAGAAGAAGCAGGAGGCACAACTGTCTCTTCAGAGCCCTTATCATTGCATTTAGCTTCAATAGAAGCCAATGATTTAAGAATATGGTGTGTAGTATACTGGGCAAATTCACATTCGCTGCTTTTATCCACATCACTTTCAGCACTTTCTTCCCTTGGTAGCTCGACTCTCTGGGCTGGAGATGAAACCTCTTGAGTTTCAGTGATTTTAGTCACGCAATCCTCTTGATGACAGGTGGACTGTTCATTTCCATCATCCTCAGCAGTCTCACTTTTGGGGAAATTCTGGCTATCTGACTTTCTTTTGTCAGCACTTGCTGCTGCCTTCTCTCTTCCTTTCTGAAGAGTGATAAGCGACTCCTCCTCAGATTCATTAAAATAAGGCTGGTCTTGTGCTTTTGGTGTGACAAGGCCTTCACCAAATGATGTGACTGTTGTCTCACTGTCACAACTGTCGGCACTACTCCCCATGGCTTGCAAGGACTCCTGAACCTGCGAAAGGAAAACAGGTGAAAAGATGAAGAAAACAAATAAGATATACCACGAACAAAATTACAATCTGACGTGATGCTTCTCTATAATCTTTATGGTCTCCATCTCGGCCACGGCCCTGGTGCTGCTCAAAACTGCTTCCACAAGCTATAGATTGGCACATCATGCTAGTTATCAAATACGTTAAATACTGAAACACAACAATGGTAAAAAAGTAAGAAGAAAACAAACAAAAAAAACAGATCAAACACGTTAATGATCAAAATGTGTTTACCGGTGGTAAAAAAAAAAAAAAAAAAAAAGGAAAAAGGAGAAGCTTCTTTCTGCATTTTCTCACAAAGATTATTCCAAATCTTCACTATTTTCCTTAAATCCCCTTTCCAACACCCATCAGCTCTTCTTTGAACAAATAACACTGACTCACAGAGAGAATGGAAACTAGTGGACAAAATTTCTTAATGTTCTTCCCTAATACCTACAAACTTTCCCATACTCTCTCCATCATTTCCTTCTTTTCTCCACTCTGAAAGGAAACTATGAATTGTGTCCCTTCTTTTCAAAGCTAATTCCTCCAACCTGTGTTTCTGATCACATCCTCTACAAGACTAGGGTATTTCTCTACAATTCATTCCCAAGCTTTTCAGGATCAAACTCTCCTTCTCTTGTAGCCTCTTCTCTTAGTAGAACAACTTCCCTAATTAACGAGGCAAAAAGACACATTACCCTATTTCATCCTTCTTTGAAAAAATAGTTTAAATTCATATCTTCTCTTCTTCCCTATCAATTTACTCTCCAAACCAGTGCAATCATGCTTTTGCCCCATCTACTCCACTGGAACTGCTTTCTCCAACGTCAGTCTCCTGACAGCCAAATTCTCATCTTTTCACTCTGATGGCCATGGCTTTCCTTTGAAAGTCTCTCCTCCACCTCTCACTTTTTCTGCCCACCTGCCTTTCTTAAACACTTCTCTTGTCTGTCTACTCCTGCAATGCTACGTCCCTAATGGCTCTTCTCTTGGGTTCTCTTTCTCTCTTACTCCAATTTTCTCTAAAAATTATCTTACAAATGTTCTAAATACTTTTCATATATGTTCTATGTATTCCTCACCTAGACTCTAAACTCCTTGAGGATAAACATGTGCCTGTTTTCAGGGTTACCTAACATACTCTAGCATAAAGGTCAGTGTAATACTCAGCAAGCTATGATAGATACATATATAATATTAGTTATTAAGCAAGTTAAATACTAAAACCCAATGATAATTAAAAGGAAAAAAAGAAAGAAAAAAACCCAGACTGAACAGGTTAACAATCAAAATAATTTGTTTACTAATGATACAAAAAAAAGGAGGGCAGCATTTTTCCCCTACTTTTTAAAAATATTCGATCAGAAAGAAATGAAGAATTAATGAAACCTAATATTTGTAGTAAAATGCTTAGATAACATCTGCATCCCAGAAATTTTTTTCTTACTGTCATTTGAAAAATAAAGATTAGGCAGATCAGTCTTGAAATATATAGCTATTGAAAAATCACCTTAAAAGGAAGATAATCATAGTGCCTATTACAAATGAGAAGTTTACCTGAAGATGGTTAAGGGACAGGCAGTCTGTTGAATCTTCCGCAAAACCACTGCTATCAGAATGCTGACTTGCAGTACGTAATAGATGATCTACAAAACAAACAAAAGCAGTTATACAAGACTTCAATGGGAGTAATATTATTACAGATATATGATTTCCAAAAGATATATCATACACAACATAGATTTCTTCTACTTAGGAAAGTATGTATTACTTAAGCAAAATTGTGGCATCAAAGCAGAGGTCATCCAAATTCAGACAAAAACTGAGTCATATCTTCTATCAGAAATTCTCAGTGTTCAGTTGCTAATTGAGCTATAGTTACAATGCATTTTGGCAAACCCAATTAATATGTCTTATTCTTGGAGGACAATCAGCTGAAATAAAAATGACACCAATAAAAATAGAAGTCCCAAAGTAAACCATTTCCATTATGTAAAGATACTACAAGTCTAATGTATATTAGAAGTTTAATATTAGAAGTTTAAATGTATAGTGTGTAAAAGTTCTATTATTTTCTTAATTAGAAAATAAGACTACAATTAAGGCCAAAAAATAATTTGTATGCAAGCATGCATAAATGACTCTTATGTTTCAAATAATTCAAACTTACTTCCATGCCTCAAAACTCTAATGCCTGGTTATTATAACCTAAAAAAATTAAAACAATAAATGGAAAGGCCACCTAAGCATAGCAAGAATGATCACACTTGCATCTACATTACCACAGTGGGAAGGACTTCACGATCAATACATTTAATGAGGGAGACACTTCAGAGGACAGGAAAGCTCCTTAGAACTTCAAAAGCAGCAGGTTAAATAAAGTGTTTACCAAATCTATAGTCAAATAAAATGTGAATTATATAGAGGCAGAAACAGATAATATGTTTGAATAAAATCCAAAATCAATTAAACCTGGCCTGACTTTGGGGAAAAAAAAAAAAAAATCTCACTGTAGCTTCAGGTTCAACCTGAACAATATGAAATGGAAAAAAACATTTTTCTCATTAAAAACTTAGAATAATTCTGTAAGATTATTTTGAAATTAACAAAAGAACGAATAATGAAATATAACAAATTAATCCATGTCCTTGATAAATCCTAGGTAAAATGAAGTAGCTGTGAAACTGAATTGCAATAAGCTGTTACCATAGGTACTAATTAGACATTTTATTGAGAAAACAACTAACATCTTATCCCTGTAATTATGTGCTTGCATATTTTTTTTTTCTTTTTAAACTAGATTGTGAGCAAAATGTTTGCTGAATGAATCAATAACTATTTCTTTAAAGCAACAACAGAACTAGGCAGTGGCTTAAATTATTTAGAATTGCAACTGCCTACGTGGTTGGGGAAGGGCAGTTACCACGGGGCCCAGAGTGGCCAGGTCTGCCTCAGGTTCTCTCTAAGATTTGTTTTAACCGCAGCAGAGCACAATCTATGTCAAGTTCTACTCACAGTTAATTCCCAGCTAACCTGAGTTCACACAGGTTATTCTAAGTAGACAGCTTAGGCTTCAGAGCAGGTGTCGGGTAGTAGAAAGAACAAGGGGGCCTGGGGGCAAAGTTCCTGCTTTGCTTGATCACCATAGAAATAACATTTCTCCTCTGCAAAATGGGGGTAATAATTCTTCTATCTATCCCACAGGGCTACTGAAGGAACTAAGCAGAATGTAGGTAAAACTACCTTATAAACTATAAATCACAATCTAGGTTCTTTAGTCACACACTTCAGTTAAACACACACACACACACACACACACACACACACTCTCTCTCTCTCTCTCTCTCTCTCTAGTAAAAGGTGGAATTAAAAAGGATTACACCTGTGTCCTAACTAAAGCTATAAGACAGTATTTCTAATCAAAAACTAGGAAGTTACAAGTAACATTAAAGTCAGAACAAAACAAAATCTGGAAATTTTATTTGTCTAGTGTCATAAAGAACCAAAATAGAATACATGCATATAATTTGCTAAATTAAAGAAAATATTGCATGTCTTCTTTAATAAGAAAAACACTGGCCTGCTCTCAACATAGCCACTGAATGTTAGCTTATGACATGAGTTGAGGCACTAAACCTCTCTGGGCCTCAGTATGTACATCTCAGGACCGGATTGAGATTAAAGTCAGTTAACTTCAAAAGTCCTGCTATTTACAACGAGATGGTGCCTGGCTACCACCACTGACTGCTCTGACAGGGATCACAACAGAGGGTCCTGGATAGAGCTGGAGAAAAATGTACAACAAAATTCTAACTCACAAAAAAGGACCAGACTTACTAGCCTGACAGAGACTGGAGAAACCCTGAGAGTATGATCCCCGGACACCCTTTTAGCTCAGTGATGAAGTCATTCCTAAGGTTCACCCTTCATCCAAAGATTAGATAGGCCCATAAAACAAAATGAGACTAATGGGGCACACCAGCCCAGGGGCAAGGACTAGAAGGCAGAAGAGGACAGGAAAGCTGTTAATAGGGAACCTAAGGTCGAGAAGGGAGAGTGTTGACATATCGTAGGGTTGTTAATCAATGTCATAAAACAATATGTGTACTAACTGTTTAATGAGAAGCTAGTTTGTTCTGTAAACCTTCATCTAAAGTACAATAAAAAAAAAGTCCTGCTATTAATGTACAAAGTATTTATGCATGCACTCTATGCATTTTTACCAAACTTGTGAAATGAATAGGTAACCAGTGATTTTAATTCTATGATTATGATTAATCTAAAATACTTATATATCACATCATCAAAATTTGATAGGTTACCTTCCAAAATTACTAAAACACTATATTATACTCTCTTCCTTGCTCTCATGCTTGCACACACAAAACCAATTTACTGTTAATTTACAACTGAAAACAGTAATATTTTTGCTTGTGCCACCAGAAATAAGAGATTCAGTACTGAGAAGAAGGAGCCCAGATATAAATTCAAAACACATTCTGTTTCCAAACTCACTGAGTTTTGTCTTAAAAAGACCCTACATTTTATTGTTGTTTATCTGCCTTTTGACACATGGCAAGCTGCTGTTCCCTGTCTATCCACCTAAAGCACAGACTCCTCGCTAGCCAGGAGCCTTGCCTTGTAACTTACAGCTCTGAACATTGCAGAAATTTTATTTCAGAAGTTTTGATGAAGGAAGTCCAGAAACATACACATACATGTGGTTTTATGGACTTAAAGGAGGAAGAAAATACGAAAGTTTGTTTTGTGGCTGGCTAGAACTGCAGTGAAGTAGTGAGAGCGCAGTTCTTGTTTCTTAGCATCATACTGCAATAAAAGAAAAATTGTATGCAAATTATCTTTTATTAGGTAATTTCAGAGATCAGGAGAGAATAAACATGTAATTTCCTATTCCAGGAACATACGTACGAATCTTTGTTTAAAAAACAAACAAACAAACAAAAAACCACGGTGGTTCAGCACGTGCAGTTTTAAAAATAAACAGTCCTACCTTCGGTGGTCATATTAACTTCTTTACTTCCTTTCTCCCTTTCTCTAAATCTCTAAAGCTTTGTGAATTTAAAGATCAGACAATTTTTTCTTGTTGCAAGTTAAAAGTGAAAGGAATGGATCCAAAGGTTCTTTGGTCAATAATTAATAATTCACGAGAAAAACAGTATCTACCTTTGATCTCCATAGTTTGACTTTAATTTAACTAGGTTTAACTGTTGCTGAGAGACTGGCGTTTTTGCCAGCGGCAAATTCATGGCTTATACCTAGGAACCGTATGTGAACAATGAAAACCCAAAGACAGAGAATATAAGGGTATTTTCAATCATAACAATGTAGAAAGTGGCCTGAATCTGTTGTTTTTCTCTCTTCTCATTTAGCCCTTATGCAGAGCTGAAAAATATTTAGAGTACACAGAATTGTGTGAAGAGGTCACTGTAGGATAAGCAAACTAATACTAGTTTATGAGCACAAAAGTCAAGAAAAAACCAAAAAATTCTATAACAAAAACAATAATAAAACATGCATGCTTGTGTTCTTACTCTTCTTACATTTAAAGGTACTTCAAGTACTAATAGATAAAACCCCTTCTCCAAATCAACTGGCAACACTTTGGTATTACTCTTGGGAACTACCGGATATCATTCTACTTACCTCTTTTTGATTTGGTCAGACCTAGCTGGTAAGCGGCTGGAACATGAGGAGCCTCTCCCTCTGTACTTTGAACCTAAGGAAGAGATTTAGGTAGTTAAACCTACAAGAATCTATGTCAAAGAAGAGTAAACTCATGATAGCAATTTATTAAAAAATCAGCCTAACTAACACAGAGCACCAAGGCATTCTATACGTAAATAAATGCAACACACCATTTCGAAATAGTTAGAATGCTCCACAGCTCAATTTTCTGATCTATTTTCTAGTTACCAATAGCAATGCAAGTAACTAGCAAAGAAAAATGACTGAATATATAAACTACTTCATTAAAAAAAATTGCTATTAGATGAGAAATAGATCATAAGCAAAAGTTCTTTAAATTTAAATGTCAAGGCATAAGGTTAATCCCAGGAGAAACACAAATACACTCATGGCAGTATAGCATGACTGACACACAGCTGAGAAAATCAGAAGTCTTGCATCTTTGATAATGGAATATTGTGCTCCCACTGCAAAATTTCCTAAAATTTTACAAATTTTCAGGTAATCACTAACCACTCATGTGTAAGACTGTTGGTCCTGCAATAAACTGGGAGTTGTAAGCAGAAAAGCAGGTTTTATTTCAGAACTAAACCGTCTAAAGATCTTAACCATATTCTCCCTGAAAACTATGCTCAAAGAACGTATCAAACCCACACAAGTTGTTCATTTGTGCTATGTCTTTTTTTTTTTTTTTGTCCTACCAGCATAACTACATAATTTAGGAATTTTCAGATTCTTTATTCTCTCTCTCTACCCTCCAAATATTCTGTCTAACATAACTAACTCTATAGCTACGACTCCATAGTGAGATTAAACATTTGGGGGTGAAATGTGCTAATTCTCATCACTAATTTAGCCTGTAATGATTAGTACTTAAAATAGTAAATATCTAACTAATGTGGGCAAAAGGAGCCCTAGCGGCACAGTGATTAAGCACTCGGCTGCTAACAGAAAGGTTGGCGATTGAAACCCATCAGCTGCCAGGCAAGAATAAGATGTGGCAGACTGCTTCTGTAAAGATTACAGCCTAGGAAACACTATTGGGCAGTTCTACTTCGTCCTATAGGGTCGCTATGAGTTGGAATCGACTCAATGGCAACAGGTTTGGTTTTTTTTGTTTTAATGTGGGCAAACTAGTCAAACGTGAATTTTTGAGCAAATAGGTTTTAGACAGAACTCCAGTGGTAAGATATGAATCTATTCAAGAATAAGAAATATTCTGTAAGAATATTAGCAGAATGAGTGAATTCAGTCAGTCACAAAAGGACAAATATTGTATAAGACCACTATTATAAGAACCCAAGAAAAGGTTTAAACACAGAAGAATACATTCTTTGATGGTTACAATAGTGGGGAGGGAGAGGGTTATTCACTAACTAGATAGTAGACAAGAATTATCTTAGGTGAAGGGAAGGACAGCACACATTACAGGGGAAGTTAGCACAAGTGGACTAAAACAAAGCTAAGAAGTTTCCTGAATACAACCAAACACTTTAAGGGACAAAGTAGCAGGGGCGGGGGTCTGGGGACCATGCTTTCAGGGGGACATCAAGGTCAACTGCAATAACAAAGTTTATTAAGAAAACGTTCTCATCCTACTTTGGTGAGTGGCATCTGGGGTCTTAAAAGCTAGTGAGCAGCCATCTAAGATGCATCAATTGGTCCCAACCCACCTGGAGTAAAGGAGAATGAAGTATACCAAAGTCACAAGGAAAGTATTAGCCCAAGAGACAGAAAGGGCCACATAAACCAGAGACTTCATCAGCCTGAGACCAGAAGAACTAGATGGTGCCCGGCTACCACCAAATGACCGCTCTGACAGGGAATACAACAGAGAGTCCCTGATGGAGCAGGAGAAAAGTGGGGTGCAGAACTCCAATTCTAGTAAGAAGACCAGACTTAATGGTCTGACTGAGACTGGAGGAACCCCAGAAAGCATGGCCCCCAGAACGTCAACCCAGAACTAAAACCATTCCCGAGGCCAACTCTTCAGCAAAGATTAGACTGGACTGTGGGACATAAAATGATACTCGGGAAGAGTGTGCTTCTTAGCTCAAGTAGACACAGGAGACTAAACGGGCAGCTCCTGTCCAGAGGTGAGATGGGAAGGTAGAGAGGGTCAGGAGCTGGCTTGATGGACACAGGACATCAGGGGTGGAAGGGAGGAGTGTGGTGTCACAGCACAGGGAGAGCAATTACGGTCACATAACAATATATGTGTAAATTTTTGTATGAGAGACTAACTTGCATTGTAAACTTTCATTTAAAGTACAACAATAAAATAAAATTAAAAAAAAAAAAAAGAATATTAGCAGAAGGGCCAACATGAAAAAAAGTCCAAAGTTAAAAATATAATTTTCCAATTTAAAAATTACTCTGGTTTGTGATATGTTTCACAGTTTGATGAATCCAAGTTTATGAATCTTTGAAAACCAAAAGCACATTTAAACCATCACCTCTAAATCACAAAACAAAAAACAAACCCATTGCTGTCGAGTTGATTCTGATTCATAGTGACCCTATAAGACAGAGTTGATCTGCCCCACAGGGTTTCTAAGGAGCAGCTGGTGGATTTAAATGGCCAACCTTTTGGTTAGCAGCCATAGCTCTTAACCACAATGCCATCAGGGCTCCATCTCTAAATCAGATACATAAAATAGACTTTATTATTCTTGTTATTTAAAAAATTATATTCTTCAAAGCAGTAGACACAAGTTCAACAGGAAAACCATTGTTTTGTGTACAAGGGAACAAAATGCATTTTCTTTTTATATTTAACAAAAGGTCTATTTTTAGTCTCTATTCAGGCCTAGCCCAGTTCAGAGAGTTTTCTGTAAAGGAAATATCAACCAGACCAAAAAAGTATAACAGAAACCCAAATGCCTCTTTAATTATATTCTAGGAAGCTCAGTGTAGGCACAGCATTATGATACAACCAAATTACAATCTCTCCCTTTTAAATGTGGGATTATCACATCTTCTATTTCTTTAGACTTATAAAATTAGACATGAAAATATAACATGACTTTAATGAACATATGTCCTCAATATACTATCCTTCAAGATGCTAATCTATGGGGGGAAAAAATCTACTCTCTCTATCTTTCACCACAAACTCTACAATTAATTGAAGAAAAAAAAAAAGCTGAAAGTGTTATATTTTACTGATAAAACTACTAAAGTCAGAATCATTCTTCTCTCTTACTAGGCAAAATTATAGTAGTACTTGTTGAAGAAACAGACATGCTAATGATAATAATTGAATTTCTTTGCTTACTGTGTTTTATTATTGATCACAGTTGTGCAAAGCAAGCAGTCAAACTCAAGATGGGATACACCACAGAGAATTATGAATCAAATACAGAATTTAGGCTTATATGCCCGATTTTCTCCTATTCAATGGTTTCAAATCCTCAGTAGAACTCGACAATTGCTACAGATTGCCTTTCATTACGTTAACAAAAACCAAAAACCAAACCCGCTGCAGTAAAGTCAATTCTGACTCATAGCGACCCTACAGGACAGGGTAGAACTGCTGGATTGAGTATGGGTAATGGAGTTCATTATACTATTTTCTCTAATATTTGAGTAAATTTAAAATTTGTCATAATAAAAATGTAAAAAAAAAAAAAACACTAAAAATTATGAAATCACTTGGTCTCAGTGTTTTGGGATTAAAGTTGTATGAAAACAGGTTTACAGTAACCCACACATCTGGGTTACTTCATTTTAAATATATTTTCATAGAACAAAGAACATAGCTCTCTGAGTCAATGCCCTGCTAACACGGCAGGTACGCAGGTACCTACTTGGTTTTGTTAGCATCTGTCATATTTATCTTGACTAAGATGAATCTTCTAGGCACAGTATTATTGCATTGTGTTCTATAAAAAAGTTAATACGTGGATGTTTTATTTCAGTTGGCCCTTAATCAAAATTCTAAAAGACATTGTATAGAAGCTTCTTTTTAAAATCAGAACTAGAGCTTTAGAAATTACAATTCTGTCTAATGGCATCTTAAAAAAGTTCAAAGGAAAACATTATTTTTCTAAAGAAGTAGTATGAGGCTGTGTGTATGGACAAGATAACCTGAGGGCTTATCCAAAGTCTGACCCTAACAACCAAACTGACCTTTAGCAAGTTATATGATGCAGTCAAAAGTAGCAGGTTTTTAGAAGGACTTGAATTCAAGTCTTATTCATGCCGTTTACTAGCTAAATATCTTCAAATAATTATCTAGGATAACCATCTCAGTTTTCTCAACTGTAAAATAAAGATTAAAATACCTCACAGGTCCCGACAATGATCAAATGAAACTGTATGTTAACAGTACTCCGTACATAGTAAAGTAGTAAGGATTTACACCAGGAGATCAGTCTCCTGCCATCCTGCTGGACTCCCTATGCACTCCCCTCCCAGTGAGGGAGTATTTTACATTCCTCAGAAAGATGGTAAAGAACTATCGCTGTAAATTAATATCAGATTTTAGAAAACAAAGCAGAAATACTTCATTTGTTAAGTGAGAAAACCATAAACTGAATTCAAGATCCCTTTCTGTACTAAGTTTATCATTCTATAATTTCTTGCCAATTTTTATCTTAAAAAAACTCATTTTACACATACACACAGATACATATGGCTTATTTTTACTGTCAGACTAAACAGTTAAAATACTTTTTTTCCTTAATTAACTTAGGTCTTTTAGGTGAAGATCAAATAACAAAACTTAGTGGTTAACTGGGCTTTGAGGTAATAGATATTCATATAGATGTCATGAGTTAGAGTTCATATTCTATTGCTGACCTTGCGGACACAATCCTTCCCTTCAAAAAACATACAGTTAAATTTGGAAGGCCAAAGGGAAAATTTAACTGTTTGTCAAATATCTGATTGATAAGGGATTATTTTAACTCAGGCCAATAAATATAACAGAAAAGAATGCTGAAACTTAACAGCTAAAAATAAGTAATGAGGTGCATTAGTTAAATCAACAATCATGTGAAGACAGGACTAGGCACAGTTACTAAAACTTCAGTAGTTTAAAAAAACTATATATATATATTCAATAATAGCTGTATTAGAAAATAAATTAATTTAGAGTGAGAAGGGACAGAACAAACTGTGTGCAGATAAACACAGATAAAAGTTATCCTTCCTCGTACACTCAAGTGTGAGAAAAATTTCCTTCATACCTAAAAGAACTGCTTATTGAGTAGGATCATTTTGGTTTAACTATGAATCATTCATACTGCTAAACTATGGCTCCAGAGTTATCACGATGTATTCAAAATAAGCCATTTAGAAAAAACACAAGAATTAGTCAGGCAAGTTATTAAGAATTAGAAAACTTAAGAGTAGAGATCTACAGCTTTTAGACACACTGAAATACTTTAAATAGTCTACAAAATATTCTTTTATAAAACAATACAGCAAACTGACTTCTAACTGAGAAACAGTCTCTGACTTTTGTTTTTTTTAATAAATACAAGAAATAGTCACTTTCATTTTCATAGGCCTGGATCAGTCTCATCAACTATTTAGTTCTTTACATTTAAATATCCTGCCCCCCCGCCCCCCACCCTTAACTTCTGGTGATTGTCAAATGAGCCTGGCAACTTTTTCCTACTAAAAATTCTTACCTCTTGCCTCACAGGGACAGTTTCATGCACAAAGCCACGTCTGCAACATTTTCTCCTACCTAGCTGTCCCAAAGGATCTGACCGTCATTAATCTGTTAAGAACTGATTTACTGAGACTGAGAGACAGAGAGCTTGCACTTGTATTTACTGGCTGTTTTCACAGGAAGAAAAGTTCCCAATAGGAATGAAACCTCAACGGAAACAGGTTTTTTTTTTTTTAAAAAAAAAAAAAAAAAAAGTAACAACCCACTTTGAATGGGATCTAAAAGTTTGCTTCAATAAGACTGTTCTCGTCACTTGTCAATATGATTCAAATCATGCTTGAGGGAAGAGGAAACTAAAATAACACATTATTTCCTTTCTTTAGTCATTGTTCTATAAACTCTTTAAAGTTCCCAAAGGGACAGAAACAATTCTAGGAGGTTTTTATCCATATTTTATGTATATGTGAAGAATAGGATTCATTACTCTCAAAATTCTCCGTATTTACAATGTAGCTGTGGTGACCATACATTCTTTTCTAAAAACAAAAAATATTCCAGTATTCCTCAACCACCAAAGCACATAATTTAGCACTTCAAAAAACGTTCACTTCACTGTCACGTTCCTTTCTTTATTAACTACTCTTGCCAGCAGAGGGAGCAAAAAAAATAGTTTATCATGACCAAATGCTAATTTGCCACGCAAGTACATCTAGCATTTTATAAATATTTAAAACAACTTTCGTGTATTATATCTTAATAATTTAAAAACAACAGCTTAGAACTTAGGAATTCTACAAATTAAAAAAGGAACTTCTTTGACTTATTTGAAAATACACATACAAGAGTGTCTTCCGATCTGAGTTAACAATACCAGATTTGCAACTACATAACACAATTTGTTTAGATTTTTATAATCTGCTATTGTAGTAAAACAAGGAAACTGTCATATCTGATTGTCATAGAAGAGGGTCTATAATGAAAGGCAGGAACCTGACCTTTAATTATGAGTGCTAGGAAAAGTTTAGACCAAAATGGAATCAAATAGTGAAATGGAGCAAAAAAGGTTTTAATGATGACTTCTCTTGCATTCAATATAATGAGAGATAAATTCTAATAGGAATTAAAGAAATATAAAAATACATAAGGAAAAAAGCGAAAAAAGTTTACAAAAAACTGTAAAAATATTCTAAAGAGCTACTCATGTTCCCTTTTTAGTTATAATGAAATTAAGATACCTTCAGAGTATGAAAAAAGGTAAATCACTGCATCAGCAAACAAAAATTTGCAATAAATGAAAAATCTTCACTAATGGGAAAGACACATACTCACCTAAGAGGACATTTATGGGCAGAATCAATTATCTCATTTTCCAAATCCCTAATACTATGATATGTGATTTTTAATACTATTGTGAAGTACCACTAAAACTAATCTTTCTATAATAGAGCTAATAAAGGAAAACCATATATCATATAATTTATAGCCACACTCTTAACCAGTACACATGTATGTCACTTTCCTCATGTATAAAATAAGACTGCCTGCCTCAGGGACTGGAGAAAGAACTTCATGGGCCTAGTATAGTGCCTGCTACAAGGTAGATGCATGATAAACTTCAGTTTCCTGCCTAAATCTGTACAGCTACAATTTGTTAAGTATCAGTTCCTGCTACTGACAAGCAGTTTTGGCTGAGCCTCATCAGAATGAGTATCTTTCTCTTGTCCCATTCAAAATTTATGTAAACTAGCAGAAGTATCACTGGGTAAAAATGTAAAGTAACAAAAATTGGTCTTCTGGGCTTGCAGAAATCCTATTTAGTGGCTTTTCAAACCTTCAAGGTTCCCTATCCTCCCCTGCAGGTACATAATATCTTCGTATGGTTTGCAGTCCCTTTACCAAAACCTATCCTCGAAGCCTTCTTCACATTTATCTTTACCACCGAGATAACGTTAAGAAAAACCTGCCCCAAAGCACAGAGCAACTCAGTGGCAGAGACAGAACTTGAACCCCTACTGGATTTCAAAGCCTGTGTTTTTAACTATTATACAATGTTGATTTGAGTTTGAATATACTCTTTCAGGGCTTTCCTGGCATCAAAATCTTAAACTGAGAAAAAGGGGGTTAAAGTTCAAATATCAGCCAGTAGGTAACAGAAGATGTAGAGAAACTGATGAACTATCCCATTACCCTGTCATCACACAGTCCTAATCCTTGGTTATGAAACACAAAATAAAACACTTGGAAAGTCAAAATTAGAAGGATGCATTTTTCCAGTATAAATTTAGTAGTCATTTTTCATTTTATAAAATTTTTTTGTCACTTCATGAACATGTTTTGTTTCTTAGGGAACAAACCCTAATTCACTACTTGAAAGTTCCAGTAATCTTTTACCCACCTCTTCCATTTCAAAGGAGTCCTTCTGCTGCACCATTACGTTTCTTATGGATGGGTTCGTCAGTGGTGCACTTGGCTCTTTTTCAGCTGTGGACATATGGATATCTTTCAGCTCACTGCTATTTTCTAGCTCACTGTGGCTGGACATGTTGAAATCGCTGCTTAAATCAGATTCTATAATACCAGATTCCTCACCCAGTCTATTCTCATGAGTTTGAGATGCTTTACTTTGCTCATCTTCAGTTTCTTGGTTAAAGTTACTACTTGCTTCATCAGAAAGTTTGTCAGTGTCAGCATTCTCCGTAACAGCTGCTGAACTACCTGATGCCTCTTCTTTAACTGTAGCCAACAAGAAAGATGAGTCTTTCTTCTTTATAATTTTTTGAGATTTCTGATCATTTTTATTAACACTTTCTTCAACTGCTGTAAAATTTAGAATCTTCCCTTTTTCAATGGCTGGGGAAGGACTGCTACCCTCTCCTTTCTCTGTTTTATCAACACATAAATTTAGTTTTGATAGTGTTTTCATTAAACGATTTGCAGTATTACTTCGAGTTAAAGGTGGAGGTGAGTCTATCTCCTTGTTTGAGGTTATCGAGGGCATACTTCCAATTCTCTGCAGGGGAGTCCCAGAGACTTGGGAATATAAGGAAGAAAACGCATTGGCCACTGTAGTAAGTACTTCAATTTGACGAAAACGGCCTACAAAAGAAAAAGAAAATGTATATATATGTGTGTGTATAGATAGATATATAATTTTTACTATTGTTTAGAATTCCAGTAACTGAACTTACATCACAAAGATTATGAAACAAGATTTTTTTCCTTATCTAACACTTACACCCTCTCTACATTTACTGAATGAGAAGACATAGAAGTTTTACTCTAAGCTCAAAATTTATATTTTAAAAAATCAGAAATAAGCACAAAGCATGGGGGCAACACTGAAAAAAAATACAAAGGACTAAGTTATTGATCTACGGTTGTGTTTCTGTTTTTTATTTAGTTCTCAGACTGCATTAAAACTCTTCTAATGCTGTCCCAAGAAAATGCACATGAATCCCTATTTTATACCTAATTTGGGGGAGTCATAGATCTCTTAAAGTTAATTCATGGGTCCCCCAGGGATCTCAGTTTTGGAAACTCTGGTCAACAAGGAAAAAAATAGGCAAAGACATGAGTAGAAATGATCAAATTAGCCATGCTAAGTTATATTTACAGAAAAGCACATGAAATAGGCTGACTTCATTTAATGTTTATAAGGCCCTTTTTTCCTTCTTGAGGAAAAACAATCTGGAGATAAGTATATGTATTAAGTTCTGCAAAAAAGTAAGTTATGGTAAAACTTCAATGAGAAAAGGTACTTAACTTCTGTAAACAGAATAATAAAAATTCAGATTAAGTAATACACTTACTGTGACTTGGAAAAAAAAAGATTTTTTTTTAAGTGAGACAGTTATTCACAACCTTTTCTGTGATTATTTTAAATCTCTTTAGCTAACTTTCCAGTGCTACTTCTGGAAATCAGTAAGGCTTTAAACTACCTTGCTGTGGACCTATAATTTAAAAAATAATCTGTTAACACTTTAAAACCTTACTTGTTAAAGCATAATTTGGGTTTTCTACTTCCATCCGTTGCATTTGAGCACTCAAAAATACTTTAATATCTATCCCTCTGGCAAATGATGATGAATTAAAAAATCTTGATGGAATTTTAGAAGCAATATCTGGCTCATCTCGTCCAAATCCAAGATTATAAAGAATTTCTTCAGGATCTTCCTCATAAAGTTCCAACAATTCTGAAACACTACAAAATAAATAAACAAACAGAAAGGAACATAAAAATATAAAATAACTTTATAGTCCACATGCATTATAAATGAATACACATTCTTGCTTTCCTCTGGTAAAATCTTTTTCTACAGCTTCAGCTCTGTAAACAATGATTTATTTTCTCATCTTTATACATGTGTACTAAATGGAATGTATAACCCTTAAAAAGAGTCCATTCTCTCAAACTGTTTGTGATGGGAAAGAGAGGTAATCTCTAAGAACACACTAAATAAGAGAAATCTAAATGTATCTTCACCTTATTTTTTTTGTCATTTTAAGAGATTTCCAGTAAAGCAGCTAAAATAATTAGCAGACAGAGGAGTGAGAACAAGAAATAAACAGATTAAAGAAAAGATTAAATGAGAAAATACGCTAGGAAATAGGTAGAACTTTGGTAGTAAGGCACATTCTACAGTACTTGAGCTTTTCTGCTATCTTTAGCTATCCTAAAAGAGGCAATACAGGTAACAACCTGATCTCAGAAAAGTGAGGGAGGAGCTTATTTTGACTTTTCCTCTTACCACTTCCACTCCGGAAGTAGGGGGAGTAAAGAGAGTCAGAGATACACAAAGGTAACTTCTTGCCCCAGTGCTACTGGGAATTAAACAACTGTTATCCTTTCCTTCTCATATCAGTGCTAAGCCAAGCTTTCTAAGAGTCACTGAGGAAAACTGGTAAGTTAGACGTAGAACTGTAACATGAAAAAATTTCTATTTATTTCAGGGAAAATGCTCATATTCCAATATAATAGTTTAGGTAACAGTTAAAACTGGCTCCACAGGCTTATTTATTGCCTCATTTTAACATATATTTTAAAGATCTTTGGTGTAATATGTTGAAAATAAGTGCTTAAATATCAAGCTTTAATTTAGAAAGCTTTATTCTGATTTTTAGGTCAGAGATGACTCAAATCCTAACAAATGGAGAACTTTGGCCATCTACAAGTAAAAATTACTCCACTATGTAGTTCCTCTTTCAGACTATTGCTAGGGCTCAAAATACTCATTACTGGGTTCCAGAAGCATTAGAGACTACTTGTTGCTTTTTATTTAATCTCAATTTTTTTTTTTTTTTTAAAAAGATGCTCCTCTCAATTATATTGGTACGGGAAACACGCTGGATTCCTTTTGATTTCAAAATGGTAAGAGGAGGTAATCTATAACACCATGTTAGTCTACCATAATTTTCTAAGAAGTTACCTTGAGACTGTCCCGCTACTTTTCCCAGATCCAGTGGAATTCATACTTCTCCCTTTCTGATGAAACTGTAGTCTTCTTTCTTTGGCCAAGATATTACTGCTATAAACACAATCAGATTATATAAAACTTTATTTTCACAAATGCTCTTCATTTTTGAAAAGAAAGAAAACAAACATAGCTGCTTACCAGTTTTCAATCTGAGTATCACTTTCATGGAGGTGGTTGGCTATAGTTAAAAAGAATAAAAGCATAGGACAACTGTTAGTAGGACTGTAACTACTATGATACAATCATCAAGAAAGCAAGCCGCAATAGTATGGCAGAATGTTTAATATGCCCAATTCTTGTCTTGGCTCATTAAATCTGTATCATTAAGAGAAACACACAGCTTGAGAAGATAACCTCTGGAGAGTGTTTTTGTTTTGCATCATTCTAAAACTACTTCCGTTCGAGTACTTAAAATAAAAAGACCTACAGACATCCAACTGGGACGCTGGTAGCTAGTGGTCAAGAGCTCAGCTGCTAATCAAAAAGTCGGCAGTTCGAATTCGCCAGCTGGAACAGTTCTATTCTGTCCTCTAGGGTCACTATGAGTCAGAACTCACTTGACAGCAACTGGTTTTCGATTTTGGTTTCAGACGCCCAGTTAAATTTCTGGGTTTAACAGTTTAGAAATAAGTAATAAGATATGCAGAATATGTGTGGCATATGTGGTACCAATTATTAAATTTGAAAGCTTCTAATAAAGAACAGTTTGAGAGCAAAACGTGATTTAGAATTAAAGTAGCGATAATATACATCAATTTATTATTTTAAGGTTGAAAAGTCAGTCCAGTTATAACCAAGTTTTCACGTATGTAATTTAAAAAAGTTCTCCTTATTATAACATTTCCTTTTAAAAATTATCTTTTAATTTTATCGTAGATTAGTAACTTCTAAACCGATGAAAGTTATTAATGTTAATTTTAGAATAAGTTATATTCGCTGCATTTAATCTTGATACCCAAAAATCAAAACCAAACTCAGTGCCATCGAGTTGATTCTGATTCATAGCAACCCTATAGGACAGAGCAGAACTGCCCCGTACGGTTTCCAAAGAGTGCCTGGAGCTGCCGAACTTTTGGTTAGCAGCTGTAGCTCTTAACCACTAAGCCACCAGGGTTTCCATTTAATTTTTATAGACAAATATAAATAATGAAATTAATTAAATACATCCATTTCATCGCACTTGATATGTGGATTTTTTTTTTTTTTTCAGTTTCTGATCTGTAAAGTCATGGTAATTTCTTATGTTTCTTTGTATATCCAACACCTAGAAGGGTGCTTAACACACAGCACTCAATAAATACTTAATGAATGAAAACAGCCTTGAAATAATTTTCATTAAACAACATGGGACTCCCTTTTAGGTTCTGGTTTCTAATAAAATCATTCAATACTATGAAACTACCAAAGCCAGTATCAACAACTCTATTTACAACTCTATTTACATGCATTTTAATAAGGGGTTGACAACATTTTCAACTGTCCTGATTGGGAAACAGTAAGTTTAAGGTCTTTACAGAGTTTAGTCCTTTAAAAGTCTATTAACAAAAATAATAAAAACTAACATATTCAGATATCCTAGAGTTTTCCACGTTAAACCAAAACAAACCCAGCCCATTGCCATCAATTCGATTCTGACTCATAGTCCCGGTGGTGCAGTGGTTAAACGCTCAGCTGCTAATCAAAAGGTCAGCATTAGAACCCACCAGCTGCGCTCAGGGGGAGAAAGATGTGGCAGTCTGCTTCTGTTAGGATTACAGCCTTGGAAACTCTATGGAGCAGTTCTACTCTGTCCTATAGGGTCGCTATGAGTTTTCAACGATAAAAGGGTCTAAATAAATCATCTATCTTACAGGTTGATTTAAAACAGCAAAAGAGCAAGGATGTTAAATTCAGTGATAAAGTCACCATTTAGCAAACTGAGTGACAAATTCAGTGATAAATTCACTATTTAGCAACTCACTATTTAAAAAGATTGAATAAAATCCTTAATTCTTTTCCTAAAAAATGCACAATAACCCAGCTGCCAATAACCTACGCAACCTAATGAAATAAAACATGTTAAAAGAGCTTCAAAATAGCTTTTAAAATACTAGTAAAACAAGTAATATTAAAAAAAAAAAATCTCAATTTACATTGTTGGAAAGCTTTATTATAAATCCACAGGGAGAGATTATATAATCTGTGAAAATTTAAACACAGAATAATACACTTTTAAAATGCTAATGGAGTCTGGGATAGACACCAGCATTATGACAGCTAATGAAATTCTACTAACTCTGCTATTTTGTCTTTGTCCTTTAATCTTCTAAAATCGGGGGGAAAAGACAGGAGACACTTCAATGCAAAAAGAAAGACCAGCTGCAACTGTAAGTATGACATGCGACTAACTCACACTAAAAACAAGCTTCAATTTGGTTTTCTCGTGGATAAATATTTATACTTCCTTCCTTCTGCAGCACAGTTCTTCCCTCAGTTATATCACCACTGTTTGCCCCAAACAGTTCCTTTAAGTATTTTAAGTCCAAGGAAGACACATGGACATTTTGCATTGGTTTTCAGAGTCATCCCTACATGCATCCTACAGGCTAGATAGTCAACATATAAAAGGAGGGTACTATAAAATGTGTCTGAGTCATTTTGAGGACATTTAAATTTATCTCTGAAGATCCTAAACCTGAAAGCACTCCATTTTCTCATTTTTTTACACTTTTAACTGAACTACATGAAAATACAGTTCTTCCAAACAAACCAACCTTCCGCTCCCAATGACAAATCATCTTCAAAACTTCCTCCATTTCTCACAAGCACACCTGAAAGAAACATTTGAAAACTCAGAAAATTTATCTTGGTGTTCTATTCTTTCCCATCTCCATATAAAATCTTTGTTTTAATTAAAACAAATTGACCAAGTAAAACATTTTATAAGATACAGTGAGATATCTCAGCACCTTAATGTACTCAGAAATTATTCTGATTATACAATTTCAAGAAGCTATGGTTTACAGCCAGGTAAAGTTCTCAGAAGCTGGTCTACAGCCTATTTTACAGTTCTTATTCCTTTGAAGATGTTCAATTAGATAACATATCTTACCTAAGAGTTTCACAGAAAACCAGATCCCGGAGCAATCATTCCTTTTACCCCCTTCCTATTAAGTCAGGAGAGCTCAAGCTAGAGTTTCCTGATTCTGTAAATGTTTTTTATATGCTTTGCCACTACCTGCACATTCTTGTTGTACTTTGAACTTTAGAATTCTGTCTTACGCAGGTTGTAAAATTTTTAGGTGTGGCAATCTGAGTTAACTTAAGAAATGCTGCACTAAAGCTGACCTCGTGCATTCAATATGTATTTTCCTTATATTTACCAATTTTTATATTTAACTAATTTTTATGTTCTCTCACTGAACAACAAGTATTTAAGGTTCACATTATAGGCAGGTTTGGTAATTTGCTTAAACTCATGACTGTTTTATGGTCATAACAAAGTTTCCCCTTTCGGCATCTAGCTCCAAATACCATTTTTTAAATAAACATAAACATCGCTTTTATAATTCGTATATATACTTTCACCCACAGGAAAAATAAAGTAGGGCCCTCATAAAGAACAGATTTAGAAAGGCAACTTTCTCTTACCCTTGAGTGTACTACTGCTTTGCTCATCCAGTGAGGCTCCCAAAGGTGTACTGAAACCACATAAACATATATGCATTAATCTTGAAAACCTATCTGGAGATTTGTCACTGTAGAGCGTTACTTAAAGGGTTATAGCTAAGCAGGCTTCTAATCACTGTTTAACTCCCCTCCCAAAACACACAAGGAATGCAAGTGGATTACGTAAGTAATATCCTACGAACTAAGCAAATACCTATCGCTAAGTCAGTTCACCAGGAATGATTTAATCACATGTCTGATCTGCCAGCAATTAAGAGCAAAAATGGCAATTATAAATGATATGGATTAGCATTTTCTTTAAGAAAGAGAGACAGAGGAAAAGAGAATGACAACAGGCATTAAGAAAAATTAAGACGACAGGCTCCCCTCAATCCCTTCCCAAGAAACAGGAAACAGAATTAGAAGAAAACAAAACAATCTTCAGTAGTAGGTAACCTAATCTTAATAAATAAGAAAGTCAGCGTCTAGTTAGAAATAAGGCTCAAGAGTTTCCCCAAACCTCATCTGTTGATCTATTACTGGCATTTTAGAGCAGTATTTTTTTTTTATTTTTTTTGGAGAAGCTTGAGATTCACTTTCTGCATTTAAACTAAAAAAAAAAAAGTATAGTCTTCATTTAACTCTAAAAACTCAGCTTGAGAATCAACATTAAGAACAATTATCCACTGTTAAAATTCTTTCACATTCTTATAGTTCTAACACAGATCATTTAGGAATTTCTCCTTTTTTAATACAAAAATACTTCCGTTTCTTTTTCAAAACTAAGTTATATAGTAAGAAACATATTGTTTTATGTTGAATAGTTCTATTTTGTGATACAAACTTTTCTTCAGTAAAAACATACCTGTTACAAATTCGTATTAGACATGAGCTTAATCATAAAAATACCAGTTTCAAAGAAATATTAGTGAAATGCCAATTAAATGTTAAATATTTGTGCTAGCAGTATATACAAGCAACGGTTATTCTCTGAAAATTAGTGTTTTCAAAATGTGAAAAGAATCATAAGCAATTACTAGAAAAATATTAATAAAACCTTTGAGATAAGTTTTCGCATATATTTTATATAACTCTAACGCATGCCTTCAAAAAGCTGATCTTCTTCCCTGATGGCTACTTTCTTAGTTAGGCCAAAACACTGCTTTCTCCTTTTATGGATGCCTGTGCTGGTCTGTGCAGAAACAGAAAATGGCAAATAAACAGAATATAACTGGCATTCTTCTCCAAAAACAAGTCTCTCACTCATATAGTTACTCCCTTCCAAATTATATCAAAAATTCTATTAGCTCTTAGATGCTCAAGCAATTTGCTTCCACTCAGCCAAAAAAATGTTTATGAAAATAAAGACTCCCTTTAAGGAAAGAAAACATGGTATCTTTATTCAGGATACAGAAAACAAAGAATAGCTGAGAACTTATCAAGGGGAAAAAATACTCCCTTCAGGTCATTTGGCCTATAATGTACAAAATACACAGATGCGCAACTCTTAGAGAAAACCTAAATTGCTACCTTAAAAAAAAAAAAAAAAAGAATGCAGCTGCATACATACTACTAGTCTAATCTGTGATAATATATCCAACTTTAAAAGACTACTTGTTCTAGCTTTCGTGAGTACAAATGAATGCCACCTTTGTGTAGAATAGGTGCAACTGTAGGGAACGAGAAGGAACCTTTGAGGAAGTAGCAGCAGACTCCAAAATCTGTCTATATAAATCAAGATTAACAACAAAAATTTTCAAGAATAATTGAGTCCTGGTGAAGGCCAACAATTACCTGTTGTACTTATCTTAAAAGACACACTTTAATAATTAACTTATTTACTGTCTATTTGGTGTGATCTCTTACACAATCTTAATTCCTATACATAATGTGATTCTTCTCTTGCTCTTAATTTTTTTAATTCTTGTGAATGCATACTTGACTTCAGACAATAAAACGCTACAAACGTATTTTGAATTCTAAACCTATTTGAAGATACCAAGAGTAAGCTGATACTGTACTTAGTACTGTATTTAAATCAAGACTAAGATTGAAGGTTTTAAAAGACCTGAGGAAAAGCAACAAAACATCTTCTTCAGACACATTTCTAAGAGGAAACCTAAAACACACTGGTTTCACAGAACCTCTCCTAAAGGGTCCTGAATATGCTTATTTAAAGTGTCAACCTTTTAAATTTTCCATTCATTTTGATATTTAACAATTAAATAAACCACTGGAACACACTATGATTTCTTGACCCATGTTCTGAGTGGAACCACTAGGCCACATTCTCCTAATTTAAAAAATGAGAGGGCTTGATTAGCCCTTGATTGTTAATCTGGGGTTCAGGGACTTCAAGCAGTGCATGCAGTCTCTGTGCATCCCTAGACAGAACCAAAAAAAAAAAAAGAAAAACACCAAACTCATGCCAAGAAGTGGACTCCTATTCAGGGTGACCCTACAGGACAGAGTAAAACTGCCCCATAGGGTTTCTAAGGTTGTAAATCTTTACAGAAACAGGCTACCACATTTTTCTCCTGAGAAGCGCCCAATCTTTTGGTTAGCAGCCCAGCGCTTTAACCACTGTGCCACCAGGGAAGCTCCCTGTACTTCATTACATCTCAAAAGCATCTATGACAGCCAGTCAAAGAGTTCCGTAGTGAAGGATATTCAGTAAGTCTCCTGTAAATTCATCGAAACACGGTATCAATACGGTAGTGGCCAATAGATAATCTGTCTTTAGGGGAGAAAAATAAACTGGCTTATATGAGAATCCCTTTAAAAAAAAAAAAAAAAAAAGACTCCTCTGGTACTTGAACAAGATATTCAGAGCCTAAATCGAGAAGGCAAAATATACTCAGAAGCAAACACCAACAAAAGTTAAAAAGCAAAAATCTTTATATGAGATTTTACAACTAGCAAGCAAATTGGAGAAAACAATTAAAATATGAAATAAGCACATTTTACCATAGTCAGATTTACTTGAAATGATTCATCTCCTCTGTATTTTATCAAACATTTTTGTAACAGCTACCAAAGCATGTAATTAAACAGATTTATACAGTCTAAATGCCTTCAAAGCTCTATTTCCCTTCTGTGAATTTCAGTGCCATCTGACAAATCCATGGCCCTAAAGCAAACCACACGAACAAAGTCTGCTAGTTATAACAGTTCCCCAAACAGAATTAAGGCACAGAATTAAAATTAAAGCCCAGTTAGTGTAGCTACATAAATTAAACTTGTCTACAACACATATGAAAGGAAAACGACTGGATACCAGATGTACAGATGCCAGAACAAGAGCAAAATATCCTGTGAAATGTGAGAACTCCTTCAAATAAAAATAGGGCACACATAATAACATGGCATTATTATCTGCTATAGATTTCTGATCTCTGATGTTAATATCATGCACTGGCAACTGAAGTCCTAACAACCATAAAGCAACACGGTCACCAAATAATCAGCGGTCACAGTACTTGCATTTCTAATCGCTTAAAGGAGGAAGCTATCCGCCGGCTCACCTTCCGGTTAATAGCTTACAACGGCCATGGGACCCACAAGGACGGCGGCCCAAGGCGCCCAGCTCGGGAGTCCCATCTGCACGGGTCTCCCTTCGGGGCGCGGGCTCCGCGAGCGAGGACTCACCGGCAGTCCTTGAGCCATATCGCGATCTTCTCGTTGGGCACGTTTCCTGCTGGGCAGAGCAGGGGACAGCTCGTTACCGACCCCAGAGGAACTCTGCGGGGTCAACCTGGATAGTCTAATGGGGGCAAAATGCAGCCTAAGCAACTTGTCTTAGTCTCCACCTGAAGGGAAATCAGGTGATAGCTAGGGTGTCTCGGGTGATGCTGGAGACGCCTTGTCAAAAGCGCGCGTCTAAAGGTCGGAAGTGTCCCTTCTCCCCCGGCTATCAATCACGGGAGGCCCTTCCAGAACACAGAGCAGTCGCCCCACGGCTCACCACGGCTCTCCCTGCCCTCCAGCCCGCACTTTGTCGCTTTCCCCGCAGCCGCAGGCCGGCCGGGCGCACCGACCTCTCCCCGTGGCCGCCGGCAGCTTCGCGCCGGGGAGGTCCTCCTCGTCGTCCTCGTCCTCGTCCTGGGTTGTCGCTTCTGTGGACAGATCCTCTGTCTCCGACGCTTGCCAGGAGCCGCGGCACTTGGCCCAGGCCTTCCTCCTCCGACTTGCCACTTGCCACTCCAGTTCCTCCTCCGCCTCCGTAGACGCCGCCAGGGACCGGTCCATGGCCGCGCCTGGGGCTCCGCGGCTCCAGCCGAAGCCTGCGCGAGACACGGGGGCAGCGGGGACCCCCGCCGCTGCTGTCAGCGCACGGCCGGGCTGGGGGCCCCGGGGAGCGGGAGTGGGAGGAGGAGGAGGAGGAGGGAACAGGGAGGGAGGGAGGGAAGAAGGGGAGGGAGG